TGCCACTTGAAACGATCTCACAGAGCGTCTGCCACACACGTGCTAGCCTCTGGGAAATCCTGCAGCATCGTAGCTAAGGCTCTCACCCCTTGGGGGGATGAAGTCCCACAAGTGGAATGGGGTGGGGCTGCGGTGTGAATCCAGCAGCATCTCCACAGGCCTAGGCTCTGTCAATTCCAGGACTTTCCAAAGGCATTAAAAAACAAAAAGCCGATGAGGCTGGCTGTGGCGTAGTAGGCTAAGCCTCTGCCTGAGGCACCAGCATACCATATGGACACTGGTTCATGTCCCAGCTGCTCCTCTTCTGATCCAGCTCTCTGCTAATGGTCTCGGAAAGCAGTAGAAGATGGCCCAAGTTCTTGGGCTACTACACCTGTGTGGGAGACCTGGAAGAAGCTCCTGGCTCCTGGCTTCAGATCGGCCCAGCTCCGGCCAATGTGGCCATCTGGGGAGTGAACCAGCAGATGGAAGACTTTTCTCTCTGTCCCTCCTTCTGTCTATAACTCTGCCTCTCAAATAAATTTTTTTTTAAATCGAGAGAATCATAAATGAAAAAGAAGTGTATCTGGAAATACAGTATATGAGAGAGAAAAGCAGAACTTTGTGATTGAAATGGGGTTGGGGGTGGTGGTATTTGGATCTTCTCTTTGGGACACTCCTCCCCCTTCTGTAATGGCCCTTGCGAACACTTCCTGGGACCCCAGGACTCTGAGGAAGGTGATTCTGCACCAACCCTGAACCACCTGCCCCTTGCTTCCATTTAGTCCAAACTTCCCCATCAGCCAGACTCCTGAGGGGCACCTGTTGGGTCTCTGCTCCCCTCTCATGCTGAGCATCTCCGCCCTGGACCTTGGCCATCATGAGATCGTGAAATTTTCCATCTTGAAATCTTCCACTGGCTTTCTAAGTCTTGCTCCGACTCAATTACTCATTCATCAAACTCTGATGCCTAACCTGCTCCCAGAGTTTTAAAGACACAAAGCTGGAGTGAGAGGAACAGAATGTTTCCTTTGATTACTCCCAGGGTAATGCAGGAGTCAGTCACAGCCATGGCCAAGTGCAAGAACAGCTCCTGCTCACCTGGAGTTCTCCCTCTCCTCGGTTCCTACCTTTCTAGGGTGCCTGGTTGCGTTCTATGATGGGACCAGCCCCAGAACCCCAGCACAGTGTGGGCTGCCAGAGCTCTTGCTGGATTCCCCAGTGCATTTCCTAGGTCACTATTTGCTGTGGTTTGGACATTGGTTTGGGTGTCCCCCAAGAGCCCATGTGTTAAATGTTTGGTCCCCAAAGTCTTAATGGTAATAGGAGGTGGAAACTTGATTCAATAACCATGTTTAGAGGCAGGGACTTGGGAAGGTGATTTGATTGGATCAGGTTGTTAGGGTGGACTTGTGAGGACAGACATAGATGGACAGTGATTGCTCTCTCCAACCATGTGGTGCTCTCCACAGCCTCAGGGCTCTCCTGGCACAAACATCATCACCAGAGGTAGAACCAGTGGAGCTGCCTGATCTCGGACTGTGAGCCTCCAAAACTGGGAACCGGAATGAACCTTTTATCCCCATAAAGTTAGTTTGTCTCAGGTATTTGGCTGTGGTTGTGAAACCCGGACTAACACACTCTTCCTTCAGCAACACTGCCTGAGTTGAGTCTGGAGTTGCAATCACATCCCACTCAGACCTCCAGATCCTCACTCCAGCAGCCAGGGCAGTTCACCATGACCCAGCCTCTGAAATGAGAAGCTCTGCTTGGCTCACAGCCCGAGCCTGACTCCTCCCCTCACTGCTGAGTCTACTTGGCTCCCTCACCCGGAGGCCATCCTCCCACGGAGGCGAGTACCCCCACAGGTCCTTGTATGCCAGCAACGGTGCAATGGGATGCCTTAAAAATACAGCTAGGTCCGGGCCGGCGCCACGGCTCACTAGGCTAATCCTCCGCCTTGCGGCGCCGGCACACCGGGTTCTAGTCCCAGTCAGGGCACCAGATTCTGTCCCGGTTGCTCCTCTTCCAGGCCAGCTCTCTGCTGTGGCCCGGGAGTGCAGTGGAGGATGGCCCAAGTGCTTGGGCCCTGCACCCCATGGGAGACCAGGAGGAAGCACCTGGCTCCTGCCATCAGATCAGTGCGGTGTGGTGGCCATTGGAGGGTGAACCAACGGCAAAGGAAGACCTTTCTCTCTGTCTCTCTCTCTCTCACTGTCCACTCTGACTGTCAAAAAAAATACAGCTAGGTCCTGGAAGAGTTCCAATTAGCTGGAAAGATTCCTAAAGATTCCTTGCAGCACTCCCTCACCAAGCCAAGACTGCTACCCTTTTCTCTCAGTCCTGGCCATGGTTTGGTCTTCTTTGAGATGCCACCATCTTTGGAAGGCTGTGAAGTATCCCCAGAACATCATCCTTTGGGTCTCTCCTGTGCTATGAGGATCGGATCTTAGCTAAATTCAGGAAGCTTCTCTCTTGGTAGGCTCAAGAGTTGGGTTCTTTAGTAAACTCAAAACTACTCCAGTGAATGCAAGCCAAGGCACCTTGGGTCTACTCTGTTTAAGTCAAGCCAAGTCAGTCAACTGAAGTGAAGACAGATCCAACTCCACCCAACCCAGTGCATACTTACTGTGGCCCTCTCCACTTGTTCTATACCAGCCAGATGCAGGCTCGAGTTGGGGGAAGGTTAGCATCTAACGACAGACAAGACACACTCTGGGCTCTCAAGGAGTTTTCTCTTTTAAACCTAGACTCCAGACTTTTCCTTGAGCTTAGGGAACAAGCTTCTTGCACTTGGGGTGGAGAGTCTTCTTTGCTGGTTTGAGACAGCCCAACCAGCAGCCCAGGTCCTGGAGTGTACTTCCCAAGGCTTCTCAAACCATCTTCCTCCTGGAGAGGTCTGACTTCGGGTCACACTTCAGATTTAGTTCATGTGGGTCCCAAGCCACTCATTCATTCAATTGCTCACTTATTCACAAACCTGCATTTACGCATTTATTACACCTACTACGTGTCAGCCACCTTGCACATATTTCGTTTAATTCTCACAGGATACGGAACCACTTAAGTGGCTAGAATTTAACCCAGTCCTAATTCCAAAGCCTGTGAGCTTTGAATCTCCCTCTCCTGTCTCTGAGAACAATTGCATAGGATCTTTATCATGAAGGGTAGACATCACTGAACATTTGAAACATTCTCTACAGCAAGAAAGAGTGGGTTAATGAATATATTATGTAAAGGACAAATCCCACCTGACTAGTTTATTAGGATTCTTTGAACAATAAACTATACAGGGAGATAAAGGGTAACTTGCACAAAAAAAAAAAACCTTTGTCAAGATTCTATCCCAAAGCCTATTAATAAAATCGATTCATGATAGAATTGGGCAGAGGTGGGTGGTGAGTGGGAGGGAGTCTATTTTTGCATGGATAGAGAACTGGCTTCAAGACAAGAAAGAGAGGGTGGAGATAAATGGGCGATTTTTCAAATGGAGAATCAGGGTTCCCCAGGAATTGGTGCTGAGTTTGGTTTTATGTAACTCCCAATACACAGTGCACTGAGCAACCCTGCCCAGAGCAGGAGAGCACAAAACAAGAGGATCTCAGCTCCTGTCGTGAGGATCCTACGGAACGAAGTGCTCAGTGACAGCTCCAAAGAGGGCGGGAAGCTCCGCAGGGAGCCCAAATGCTGGGGTGTGTGTTGGGGGCGGGCGGGGGGGGAGAAAGCGGAAGCCCGTGCCTGGGGCAGGAAAGAACCTCAGATAATCCTGAGAAGGCCTGAGGTGCAGCACCAGCCCTGTCGCCCATTCTCTGTGAGGCACTGGGCGAGCTCTTTGCCCTCTCTGGGTGTCGGTTTTCTCCCTTACACAATGAAAGAGTTGGATGAGCTGCATGGGTGTTGTGTCCCGGATGGTTGGCAATGACTTGAAATAGACACTGTTCACGAGAAATTCTCTTTTTCCTGTGGCAAAAATATCTCCTTGTGATGGGGGACCCTCTCTCTCTCTCTCTCTCTCTCTCTCTCTCTCCTCTCTCTCATTTGTGAACACTTAAGATGAGGCAGACAGCCATGAGGTCTGTGGTGCTGGGGCTCAGAGCCCAGCCTGGAATCCCTCAGTGACATTCGCTGCAAATGACTCAGCAGCATAAATAGCTCCCATCTGGATGAGCAAGGCTAGCTATAGCGATCGAGCGATCTCTACATCCACACACACTCGCTCTGTGCAAATATGTGGCTCACTGTGTGCTAAATACGAGGTGGCCTGGAGACGTGCCTCCTCTTAAAAGACTATTTGGTATGAAACTCAAGACTATTTATTTAAAGAAACAAGTTTACAACTATGCTCACTGGATTACTGGAGTGGGTGGTGGGGAGCAGGCGACGTGGATGGAGGGACGCTGGGCGTGAGCCAAGCCTGGCCAGCCACCTGGAGGGGGACCTGGGGGTGACTGCTCTGCCACGGGTCCTGTTCTCAGGAGGAGGGACTAATGGATGCCACACACAAGCCTTGAGACCCTGAGGTGGGGGTGGGGTTGAGTTTGCTTATTAATACAGGAAGGCAAGGGTTCAAGAAGAAACAACGCAGGACCTGAGGTGACAGAAGAACCAGGGTCCAGCTCATTCCACCTTGCCATTGATTTGGGGGCAGTTCCTTAGTTCACTCATTCATTCATCAAACACGAACTGAGCACATATGCGCCTAGGTCACGGGCTACACACAAGAAACAGCAGGTCAGAATTCGTCAGCCTTAGCCACCACCTGCCAGTCTCAAGTTTTTAGGCAAATTCTTTCTCCCCTCTGAACTCCAGTTTCAGCATCCGTAGACTGGGGAGCATTGAATAAGACGATGTGCATTGGAAACAGCTGGGAAGAGGTGCACCTGCACCCTTCCATCACACAGCCCGACTGCCCCATCTCATTGCAACTTCGGAGCGCTCTTGGCAAGCTCAGAGGGAAAAATGTCATCACGCTGAACACCCTGAACACCGCCCATGGATGAGACCCTGGGCAGTACCCTTACCTTTGCTTGCTGGCTGAGCTGATACCGGCGTCTCCAGTCACTGAGCAGAGCAGGTGGGCATGTCAGAGACACACAGCTTCCTGGAGGAAGAGAGAGTATGCTGAAGGTGAGGAGCCAGCTTGTGGGATGCTGGCTTCCTCAATGGGCACAGAACCCAGTCCCATGGCGGGCATGTCCTTCCCTCGCACTCGGTCCCAACTGCTTCTCTTGGCTCCAGCAGAAGGCTAGGTGGGACAGGGTGCTGCCTGGCCTCAGGCCCAGCTCTGGGCTCCATTTCCCCTAACCTGTAGGGGTTCCCCTCTTACTCACTTGTCCAGGCAATGCTTAGATTATACCACTGGCCATGCTGTTTTCTGCCTTCAGGGCGACTTCTGGTGGGCGTCAATGGACAGGATTTGTTGTCAGTGGTATCTGCCTTTGGGAACATCTATACAGCTTCTGAACCTCGGTTTCTTAATCTGTAAAATGGGGCTTCTACTAGCACCAACTGCATATCTTACAAGCTCCGGTTGTGCGTGGCTTATTGTTGCTGCTGTTGTTAGCTGAGAACATGTGGGTGGAGCTATCCGTTCGATAGTAGCCCTGCAAATTTTAGTTCCTCCCTCTGCCTGACTCTAGGGGACACCAGGCATTCTTTACGAGGCCTGGGTTGGCTCTTCCACGACTGTGTTTCCACAAGGCCTGAGAGGACGTAGGTCCCCCGTGGCTGGGCCTTGCTCCATGGTGGGCCAGATCTGCTCCCACTCATCTGGGATGAGGGAGGCTGATGTCTGTCCCCACCGCATGTGTGAGAATCCAGAGGCAGAGAGCAGAGTGAGCTGCTCGCCGCGGGCTGGGATCGGAACCTGGCGTCTTCACTCTCTTGTCTGCTGCAGCAGGCAGGGCTTCCTGTGGCTGGGTGCCCACCAGGGCCTGCGAGCTGTGCCTGCCCCCGCCCCGACACAACCTGCCACTGCCTCCCCCAACTGCCGACCGCCGCAGGGCCCACCCACAGCGGCTCCAGGAAGCTCATAAGACTGTCTCAGTTAGAGGTAGGCATTGGGGTTTGGGAAAAGCACAAGTTTGCCCAGCCCACAGAGGCAGTCCTGGGTGAAGCAGGGACCCCCACAGAGACCAGCAGACCCCGGGCGCCTTATGTTAATGGAAGGCTTCAGGGATTGCCCAGGGTAACAAAGCTCTCTGGCCCCTTGGCCTCAGCCACAGGACTCCGTGGCCCTGCCACCCCCTAATGTCACCCCCACATCCCAATCCCACTGCTAGAACAGGGCCCGCCTGTTCCCCAGAGCCTGACACTTAGCAGGGCTTCATAAGTGCCTGTTGGAGTGAATGAATGAATGAGAGACTAAGTGGGTGAACCCCTGGGCCAGCCCTTGCTCTGAATGTCGGTGACACAGCAGTGCACAGGGAAGGCACAAACCCCGCTCCCAGGGAGCTGGCAGTATTGGGATTTCCAGCGGCAGCTGCAAGTGAAAACAGGGCAGCTGTTTTTCCAAGTGGCCGGGGTGGGGGGGGCAGATTTTCTGCCCTCAGGCACAGCCTCCTGTATGCAGGGTGAGGAGGCTTTGCTTTTAAGAAAGCAAAGAAAGACAGTGTTTAATGTCAGCCGACTGTGGAGCCCCAAACAGCTGGCACAGTGTCTGGTGCACAGTAGATGCTTGGGGAACTTTGATTGAATGAATAAAGGTGGGCACAGGGTGTCAGGAAGACCTAGGTCTTGGGGCTTGTGGGCGCCATGAGTGTCAGATCACAAGAGGGGCTTCACTCTTCCTGGGGCTGTCACCTACCAGTCGCCCTCCCTGTGCAGGTGAGGGGCCGATTCCAGTGCATCTACTGTGCACCAAGTCTTTCACATCCATAGCCTCCAGCTTCCCATTAACCTGTCAAGGCCAATGTCACAACTCCCATCACACAGAGTATGCAAGGAGGCCCAGAGAGGACTTTGTCTTGCATCTTTGGAAGCCAGGCCTCTTGTCTTATCCTAGGAATGAGATGGGAAAAAAACTCCTAGCTTACTGGAGGACGCCAGTACAAAAGCAGGTGGTCAGAGCGCAATGCGACACCCTCTTGAACTGAGGTTCGTCCAAGTGCCACCCTCTGCCGGGAGCAGCAAGGAGGGCTCCCCTGAGAGGTGAAGCAGCAGCTGAGACATGGAGGAGGCCGAGGGGACGGTGCAGCAGGAAGGGTTTTCCAGGTAGAAGGAACAACATCGACAAAGGCACAGAGATCTACTCAGGGAACCTGGACAAGTGAGGCTTGGCTGCAGCCTTGGGTCAAAAGAGATGACAGGCTGTCGGGGCCATGTTCTGAGGGGCCTCGGAGGAGCCTGGATGCACCCCGGGGGATACAGGAGCCAGGAGGGATTCCCCTGGGGGTCCTGGGGGGAGTGGGCACGAGAACGGGAGCCTGCCATCCTCTTTTCAGGCTGAGGGCAGGGAAAGGCGCTAAGGCAGTGGCTCAAGAATGGCAAAGATGGGAGGCGTCAATGGCAGGACTTGGTGTTGTTGCAGGGTGGAACTGGGGAGAAAGTGAGCCAGCCTCCAGGACGGGGTGGAGCGGTGACATGGCGGGGGGCGGGGAGGTTTGCATGCCCTGCCCCGTGGAGCTGGAGGTGCTCTCCCAACCCCCAAGAAAATCACAGTGGCAGATTCTGGTCCCTGCCTGAGCCCTGGCCCCAGCAAAGTCTCTTTGGCCATCTGGATGCTCCCAAACGCTGTCCCAGCAACGCTGCAGCCCTCACCTTGGTCATGCCAACTTCCATCCCCTCTGCTCCTGATTGGCTGGAGTGGAGGAGCATCCGGGATGTCTCCTGACCATTCCCCCTGTCCACGGAGCTGGCCAGACAGGGGAGGGAGGGGGGCCTGGGTCCCTAGAAGGAGTCTGGGCGGGCCGCCTTGCCAGCTGCATTCTGTCTGGGACACCCCGGACGAGCGAGCTGCTGGCCTTCTGTTGGCCTTAGCTGTTCTCCCTTCTGTCAAGTAGGGAGGTTGCACGACGCCACTTCTGAGTGTCTAATATCGTCTTTGTCGGGTTTCGATCTTTTCCATGGTTATTCGTTGGATAATTTGTTGCTGACACAGATTTTAGCATCAAACTCCAGGAACTCCAATCCTGGTTAACTTGGCCAATTCATTTCACCCCTGAGTCTAGATTTTTTTGTATTTATAAAATGGTTTTATTTCATGCTGTCTTACCCACAGGGTTCTGAAACTCAGTTGAAAGGGTATAAAGTAAAGGTGCTTTATAAATGGCAAACAGCTATACAAGTGTTCTCATTTCATTTCACTGAGCTGCCACGGTCAGCAAAACCAGCAGGCATTTTTTATTGAGCAATTACTACATGCCACACCTTGTGCTGAGCGGTTTCCCTGTGTGATCTCAGTTTCCCTTCACAGCAAACACGTTACCTGTCATCGTTACTCTCCCATTGTACAGATGCAGATGCACAAAGTGCAGGACCCACATGGTTAAGTACACAGAGGGCTTAGTCAGGCTCCCTGGCTTCAAAATTGAGTACCTAAAGAGGTGTCCATCTCAAGAGCTCGTCTCTCCAGCTGGGAGTTTCCTCTTGCCTGAAGTCAAGAATCTCACTGAGGGTTTGGTTTAATGAGCGTCGTTTCTGTGCCAAGAATTAACCAGCTTCCCAGGCTCTCACAGTGTGCCAATCACCTGGCAGGGGGCAGCGAGGGGGTGGGGAAGGTCTTCCAACAGGGCAGATTCTGACTCAGCAGGTCCGGCATGCAGCCGAGAGTCTGCGTTTCTGCCGTCCGCTCCACTGCTGATGCTGTGGGAGTAGCCAGGTGCTAGTGGGCTCCTACATAATTTATTGAATCCTGGGGTCGAGGTTTTATTAGCTCTGGATTTGCAGAGGAGAAACTGAGGCTGGAGAGGCAGTGCCCCTGGTGCCTGGGATTGGTCCTGGCATCACTTCCTCACTGTGTGGTCTCTGCTCTGGGCTCCTGTCCCCACTACTAAGGCAGACAGAGGTCTCTGAGGCTCTTTAAGGACTGTGTTTTCCTCTCGGTTCATTGTGAGCCCACCGACTTGTGGGAACAGAGCCCGACCCCAGGGGGCTGTCCCTGTAGTTGAGAAAAGGTTACCGGTACAGCATGAGGCCTTGCTAATGCGTGAATCCCTCTACTTGATTTCTTTGCATGAATCCTGGCTTTTTTTTTTGTACCCTGTCCTTATTCATAATTTTGATATGCTTTATTCATCATGAACATTTTGTCCTAAATTAAAACATTATTTATCTCGGAGACTGAGTTTTCTAAGCACTCCCTTAAATTGTGCACCCGAAGCAGGTGCCACTCTTACAGGGATCACCCTGGTCTGGCCTATGCTAAGTCTTCTCTCTCTGCAACCAGCAAGGCACCCAGCCCCCAACCCCCACCCTGCAGCGCCCCCCGCAGCCAGCTGGCCGGTGGATTTACTTGGTAGCAGGTGAGTCCTGCAGGTGCATCACTTGGCCTGCCCCTGGCTGACCTGCTCTGGTGCGGATTGTGGGCCCGAAGGAAAGTCCAGGGGATCCCTCTGACTCGGGTTTCATCCCGTCTGGCCCCTTCCTGCATGGACAATTGAAGGAAGTGGCTTTGTCACCTTTCAGATCATGCTGTTTTTCTCCCCTACAAATAGACTCTGCCTAGCCTTCAAGGCCCAGCCTGATGTGGCGCCTGCAACCTCTGTGCCCTCATCATTTGCCAGTCCCCGCCCTGTTCTCACTTGGTTTTTGTCTCACCCAACTTATTGGGCTTTTTCCTGCCCCAAGACCTCTGCACGTTCTGTTCCTTTTATCTGGATGCTTGTCCCCTGGGTGGCTTCTTCTCATCATTCATCTTCAGTAATCTTCCCTTGGAGTCTCCCCAGCCACCTTATTTCAACTGCCTGCATCCTGCCTGGCACGCCCGCCTGTTTGAGTCCCCTCCTAGCGCAGGTATGACGCGGTGGAATTATCTGATGTGTTTACTTGCTTGTTTTCTGTCTCCTCACAGGAACCTGAGCTCTGTGAACACGCGGCCCCTGTCTGTGCGATTCGCCGCTGTCTCTCCAGCTCCTAAACCAGATGGCCTGTAGCAGGTGCTCA